CTAAAATATAAGATCAGTTTAGTGTAGGGATTATTTTTTTAGATATCATAAAAAATGTTATCATATCTTAATTTTATTGACAGCAATTTAAATATAAATGATACTACTTTTAATTAATAATCTAAACACATAAACAATAGCTAAATGAAGAGATTAAAATAAAGATCGATATAATTACTTAAAGAAAACTTAATCAACAAAACATTCTTTTATGAAATACCTAGATTATTTGACATAAACAGTAATAAAGTAAAATAATTAGTTTAGAGGATTTTTCATATTGAAAGTAACCAATCACCTATGATTATTATTCTTAAATTGATTTTAAAAGTATTAGATAATCTAAAAGATTAATTAATCATCAAGATGTACAATATCATTTTGAGGATTAAGATTTAAGGAAATAATTATATGTTCCCTAAAAACCATCTAATAATTTTAATTACTGATTAACTTTAGCTCAACTTTAAATTTTTCCATACTTCAAATAATAAATATTTATAAGTCACTGAGTTTAAGTATAATAACTGTTACCTTCAAGAGGATTTTCACGAAATTGATTAATATATATACAAAATATTCCTGAACACTTTTTAAATTATTAAAAACCTTTAGATAAACCCACCAACTAATTAGATTTAAAATTTAAAATAATTCACAAAGAAATTACCCAAAATTTATAGATAGTGTTAAAATATTTTAATTTTTCAACTGCAAAAAATCAAAAATCTATGTATGTTTATGTTGATGATTAAAAATTATAATTAATCAATTATTCAATAACTTTAATAATTAAGGTTTAGAGAAATTTTATTTTCAAAACATGTTTCAGTGACATTCAGATTTAATTATTAATTTTGAGAATTCCTCAGCAAATCCATTGATTATTAAGGTTTCTCCACTTTCGCTGTGAATTTGAGTTGCTTTACAATTAAGGTTATTTACTCCTGATTTGAATGAGATTACTTAAGAATTTAGTCTTCACATAATTCTCTACTTTAAACTTTAAACTATTTAGATCCCTCTATTTAAACAAGGGCAGCCAAACCCCCCATACCATATTGGAGGCCATAGATAAGAGCAGATAAGTATTCTTGAAAATAATAGAGAAACCATCATTATTAATCTGAGTAATAATTCGAAATAGTGTAAGCCTATAATAATAATGAGATTTTCAAAAATCTATGAAAATACCTTTCTAAAATTCTCATAGTTATAGAAGATTTTTAATTTACATAATATTTAAGTGCATTTTTTTCATTTCATAAGAAAAAACAAATTATTACAAATCAAAATTAGACAAGAGTTCAGAACGTAATGAATTTGTAGGAAAAATCAATTAATCATAGAACTCAATTTTTTAGAAATTAAATTATTTATATAAAAATTAATTATTCCATATTATTTAAGAATAAACTCATGCATATGTTGCAATGATTTCTAAATAGCTTAATTCATCTAGTATATTTTCAATTTGAAATCTGCACAAAGTCTGAACTTCTATTTTACTGAAATGCACAAGATACTTTTATCGATTTTGCAGTATATAACTTAAATTTAGAGTAATAAAAATTCATTATTAAAATAAAAAAGAAAATGCAAGAATCTTTTTAAGAGAAGCAAGCTCTAGCTGACATTTTTAATTAAATAAAAGATGTAGATATACAAATTTTTGGGGCAATATTAGAAATATTAAGAAAGGAAAATACTTAAGACAGCATTGGATTTCTATCAATCATTGGGAATCAGAGACAGCTAGAATCATAAATTTTAAAACAAGTAGGAAATTTCACCCAAGCTGATACAGAATAAAAATTGTCTGTTATAGGAAATGACATGAAGTAAATTACAGGTGTCTTAAGAAAACTAAAAGATCATGACTTCAACAAGAAAGACTTTTCCTCTGAAGAAATGAAGAATCTACATTATTTCTAATTAATAGCATCAAAGATAATAAAAGGATCATTGAATTTCTCTAATTTTTAGTTCACCTCACATCTAGAGATAACACTTTGATATAATGGGATCTAATTCATTATATATATTAGTTTAGATGAAGGTTTACCTTAGTAATAAAAATTTTGAAAATATTAAGATCTAAAATACTTCTTCAGTGGGAGCTAATTTTTTTAGAAGTAATTTAAGTGGATCTGAATTTAACAATGTTTTTATTAGTGGAATGAATTTAAATGGAGCCTTATTATTTAATTGTAAATGGAAAAACTTGAAAATTCATGAATTATATGAGTTAGGCGGTCATTCTTGTAAAGTTAACTCTGTCTGTCTCTCTCCTGATGGTAATACGTTAGCATCTGGTAATGATGATAAGTCTATCCGTCTATGGGATGTCAAATCAGGATAATAAAAAGCCAAATTAGATAGTCAATATAGTGATGTCTACTCAGTCTGTTTTTCTCCTGATGGAAATTTATTAGCTGCTGGGAATCGAGATAACTTTATTTGTTTATGGGATGTTCAAACAGTAAAATAAAAAGCTTTATTATCAGGTCATACTAATAATGTAAATTCTGTTTGTTTTTCTCCTGATGGTAATAGATTAGCTTCTTGTAGTTGCGATAACAATATCCGTCTATGGGATATTAAAACAAAATAATAAAAAGCCAAATTAGATGGTCATACTAATGGAATAATACTCTCCTGATTCAAATAAAATAGCCTTAAGCAGTGAAGATAAGTCAATCCGTCTATGGAATGTCAAAACAGAATAAGAATTTAAATATTCTGATAAAAATTACAAAGAACTAATAAAATAATTTAAGATTCCATTACAATAAAATAATCCTATTTCTGAAGGTAGTATTTATATTTTTAGCCTCCAATAACATTACTTCACTTCTTATATCTTAATAGGCAATATTTTAGGCTAAAGGAGCACTTATATAGAAAGGAGAGTTTATAAATTAATCAAGTATAGATTTAATTACTTTATTTAAACAAAAGGGTAGCTGGATAGTAGAAAACGGATTAAAATAAACAAGCAAGGATAATTGCATAATTTCTTGATAATTATAAATAATATCAATGAATTTGTTTAAGTATTTTTATGTCATTAATCAAATGTAAATGATAAATCTGAAAATCCAAATACTCTTGCTATGTTTTAAAATAATAAAAATTTATCGTTTATGTTTTCCTAGCCCAAAGAAATATTATATTTTTGGTCTCATAATCAATTTAATATATATTTTTAACTATATAATTTATAAAATACCTTGAAAATATCAAACAAAAGAACAATAAAGCCGTACTCTTAAATCAATTAAGCAATCCTAATCGTGACTTAATTATCAAACAAAAAAAAAAAAACCCTAAACTTTATTCATTTATAAACTAACTTTTGATAGATAATACATAGACAAATAATAAAAAAAATAATTCGAACTTCTTTTATAGGTTTCCAAAAATATTGAATCCCTCCAAAAGTGAGAATTGTACATGACTAATTAAATCTTGCCATCCTAAAGTATAAATAATAAAAAATTACCATAACTTATGTTAGAAATTGCATCAAACTTATAAATAAGAGTTTGATAAGTTGAATACACTATTGTTAATTAAATTCATTATTATCATTATTCCTTACTATTGTTATATAAATATATAAATAAACTCTCTTTATAATAGCATTATACTTAACAGGTATTTATAGATAAATAAGAAATGTATTAATCTAAAATTAATAATTTGTTTGAATAAATTCATTTTTTTTTATTATCAACAATTTGGAATGTCTATAAATTACAATATTAATTTAATTATTGAAATTAACAATATTTTTCAGTTTAATTATTAGATTATTTAAATAGTTTATTGTTTATTTTAATAGATTGTAAGACATGAAATAAAACTTTATTAAAAATAAAATTGTTATATCCTATTCTATTATTAAATAACATGGCATTTAGTTCCACTACTAATAAGAAATTATAGATTTCTGGATTAATGTTTCGATTGTAGCTAAAAAACAATAAGGAATTTTTATTATTAAGTGTTTTCCTTCCCTCAATTATTGTAGTAAAAGGGATATAGAGTATTAAAAAATTAAAAAAGCAATAAATGTTGCGTCTTTAAGATTAAACCTAAAATAATGGAGGTGAATTTTACTTTTCTGTTAGGAAGTATTCAACTCGTAAAAGCAATACCATAGAATAATTTATTCTGAGAAAAATAAAATTAACTAAATTTTCAAAATCCATTTTCATAAATTAATTTCTCTAAATTTAAATTTGCTTATGAGAATATAAATAATTATCAAAAATAATCGATATGTGACAAAATAACCTGTTATTATCGAATTACTTTTAGGGAATAAAAAATTTATTTACTCCAATTCAATCATGGTTTAGTGTGAGAGAGAAAATTATAAGAATGAAAATTAAATACTTGTAGGCTGGATTTTAAATTGGCAAAATTATATAACATAAAATTTTTTTTAAGTTATAATTGGTTGGGTTGTATCATTTAGAATTTATTTCAAGTAAAAAAGTGTTAAAGTCAATTAATTAACATTGAATTGTAATTATCTTTAATTAATGCGAATGACGTTTTTCACTCCTCTATTAATTTACTGAATTTATTGAAAAGAGCCTTTTAAAATTTCCATTCTGAATCTTGAATAAAATATGAATTAAGAATATAAAATAAATCATTCTCTTCAGAGAAGTTTAGAGATATAATAAATGAAGATTAAATTAATTATTGAAAAATTAAAAACGTTTTAATCCTTTCATAAAATCAAATGAGAAATTAGTAATTTTATTTAAAAATCAATCTTTTTTTTTTTGAAGCTTTGGAAAATTATCTATAGTAAATTAATGAGAAAATCACAGACATGAATTATTATATCAAGTAATCTTAATGATTAAAAGTATTATAAAAAGGAAAAAAATATTAAGTTAAGGTTTTCTTTTTAAAATTTTATTCTTAAAGGTTTAATTTCTTTTGATCATCTATATGGATACCTTATGAAAATTAATCATAAAATAAAGAAATAAATAAATAATTTTAGACTCACTTATTCAAAATTTAAAAAATAATTATTTCATTAGAAATAATTTATTTGATAATAATTCTTTCATATAATTTCTGTATATTAATTAAGTTACATAAAAGTTCGATGAGATTTTGATACTATTAATCACACTTTTAGTATAATAATATTATTCCTATTTATTTTTATGTTTTTCTTAAAATCAAAATGTTATTCAAATTAAGTTAGCAAATTTAATTATAAAACTTATATGTTAAGCTTTTATTTATTAATCCGGATTAAAGGAAAAAGGTTTTGTTAAAATTTGATCCTCTTTCAGAAAAAGAAGAGTATTAAGCTAGATTAACAGGATAGTAATTAAGAAAAAAACTAGAAGAATTTACAAAATAAAAATAAATTGTGATTTAAGGTTTATCAAAGTAAATAATATCTCTTTAAGAATATAAAATTTTCTATCATCCCTATTTTTAAGATCTATTTACATTGTAACAATTTTGATGAAAGAGATTCCAAAAAATTCAAAATTATATATTTAAGATGAAATTGAAGAATTAATGTATTCTCATTCTTTTAAATAAAATATATTAATGTGATTACAAATCAATACTTTATAACACCCCATTTGACAAATGATTATATTGATGGAATTTTAATTACAAGAGAAAAATTAAGTAAGACTAAACTTATTTAACCAATCTAGAGTAAAACTAGTTTCAACTTAGAGTGGGTAAGTTTCTTTAAGATTTATTAAAACATATGAAGTCACTTCAAAATAAAAATAATACAATTTACATTTGTGTTACACATCAAGGAGTAGTTTCATTAACTTTAAAAATTCAAAATATTAGAAGTCCTTATTAAATTGATCATTGTGGTCTGTATTCATTTATTTTAGAAGATAATGGACAAATCAAAAATTATTATAAAGGGGAGTCCATTTGGTATTGAGTAGATTTTGAATTCTACTACTTTTCTTTCAAATATATAATCATATATGAATATAATTAGTAAGCAACATTGATATAATATTTTATTACAAAATTTTAATGTATTAGTTATAATAAAAACTTTAATCAAAAAGATCATCTCAATTTTATGAAATTTTATTAGAAATACAATATAAGAAATGGCATTTATTGATATAACCCCAATACAGAATTATATTAAATCAAAAATAAATATGAATTTATTATTGATATAATTTATGAATAAGCTCATTATAAACACAGTTTAATATTGATTTTAAATAATTTTTAGATTATCTTAAAAATTAATTTAATTTATATGCATATATACATATATAATAGATGAGATATTACTTAGGTAGATTTATAAAAAAATGATATTATATTATTCATTTATCATAAGTGAATAAAATTAATTAAATTGGATTTATTAATATTCTTGCCTTTCGCTGAAATAGTTTCTAGATTCTAATTTTAATTTTATTCCCAAAATGGCTAGAGAGGCTAATTCTTAAATTTATTAGTGAAACCTATATATAAGTAACGTTACACATTGCTAAAATTAATAAATTGTGATTAAAGTCTAGCATAGATCAGAAAATTTTAAATTACGTAGTAATTTCAATATATAAATTGTTTTGAAGAAACAGAATATAATATTACGATATTTGATTCAGATTAAAAGTATATTAAAATAAAGGATGAAAAAAATTTTAATTTAAAGTTGAATAGTTTTAGTATGGCATACATAGATGGAGTAACATGAATAATAATACAAAAATTTTTTTGTCTCGTTCATTAACATTAAAAACTCAGATTTATTGGTAAACTGAAATAGATCAAAAACCTAACATGATATATTAATAAGCAGATAGACTATTCGAATGTTGAAAAACTTCAACAAATTAATTGATATAGGAAGTATATAATATTAAAATTAATAAAACAAGGGATAATTAAGAATTATTGGAAATTAAACTAATTAAATGAAAAAAATTACAGAATAAATAATGCTTAAATGAAATTGGAGACAACTTTAACAATTAATTATAAGGACATGAAAATATATTTATATGAAGAAAAAGATTTATAATTATGATCTAATAATCAGTCAGTTGTTGCGGAGCATTAAATAAGTAAAACCATAGAAAGTGTAAATTTTAGTATATAATGTGTGAAATTATAAAATGGATAATAATTTGGGAAGATGAAATTATTTGTAAACTAAAAAAAAATTATGTATTATATAATCGAAGCAAGGGTCATAAGATAGAGTTGATGAAAATATTAAAACTATCTGATGGTTTAGGTTGAATGGAAAAATATGATTTCATTTAAAGGATAATGTAGGCAATTTGTATAGATTTATTTTTTAAAAGAAAATTTTTGATTGTATTGTGTTCTTGGTGGGAATAAATTTGAAGGAGTGATTCCCTCTTAATCATAGTGCAAGCAATGGCATTTTTTAAATGTATCATTTTCTTTATCATTTGATTAGAGACTTAAATCAATAAGGTTATATCGTTTCCTGGATTATTTTTAGTGATAATTAGGCTAATGAAATAGCAATATAATAAAATTTCTATTTTCTTTAAGGTTGATAGCATTTGAAATTTATTTCAAGCAAGATCCTAATCAAAATGAGTTGGATTAAATTATATAGGTAAGAGATACTTATTTTTTTATTAGAAATTTGATAAATTTATAAGATCAGAGCTTATTGGATATTCTTTAAATTTTGCTGCATTTATATAAATTCATCATTTTCTAGAGTTGGATAATCTTCTGACATTTCAAATGACAATAAGATGAGAAGATAACGTGATTAACGCCATATATTATTATTTTTTTTCTTAAATTTTAAAGAAATACTAAAACTAGAATATATTTATATGAAAATAGGAGAAAAAAAAAATCTATGTAGTAAATATATAAAAAATCATTCTCATATCAATGATAAAAAATTCGAACACTTAAAATCAGTTTCTGATTATTCCACCTGTAAATTATTCTCTCGGAATTTTTTCTAAAAAATTTTACTTTTTTTTAAGACTTCATAAATGATTTCCTAAAAGAACTTTATCCTGTTTTTTTCTTATATTCAAAGAGACTACAATGGAGATATATTGTTTCAATAGTTAATATTCTGAGATCCAATCTAATTTAATACTTTGAAAATCAAAAATATACCTTATTATGAATACTTTTAACTAAAGTCAAATTGATGGAGACAATTTGAGACTCACAGAGTAAGAAAAATTAATGAATATATTATGGATATTGTAAGAGGATCCGAGAATTAAGTACAATTTTCATCTGTTTAATAAAACATCAATTAAGGGTATATCATATTAGGGAAAATGGAAAAAAGAAGCAAAGAAAGTAGTGCTGATTTGCTAATCAATATTTAAATATAACAAGATACTAAAAGTATAGATCTTACCCCTAAAATATATAACTTCAGCCTAAATCAAGGATTCAAGAACCTAATCTGTTTGTTCATACAGATTAGATCAAATATAAGTGTGGAATTAAATTATAAGGTAGTGAAACGAAAACATTTGAAAAGTATGAAAAGATGTAAAATTCATAAAAAATCTATTTGTAAAATAAAAACAACTGAATTCAAATTTTAAATATCATTTTTATATGAAAATTTCATTTATATAACTAGAATCAATATTTAAAAATACAAAAAAAATTTTAAATTAATTTTTGCAATATAATTATAGTTTGAGATTAATTTTTAAAATTATTATAATTTGCTCAAATTATTTTTTATCTATTTTCTAGAAGTGATAAAAATTATCAGATGTATATNTATCCAACTCTAGATAAAGATGAATTTATATAAATGCAGCCAAATTTAAAGAATATCCATTAAGCTTTGATCTTATTAATATATCAAATTTCGAATATAAAAATAAATATCTCTTACCTATATAATTTAATCCAACTCATTTTGATGAGGATCTTGTTGAAATAAATTTCAAATGCTATCAAAGAAAATAGAAATTTTATATATAGCTATTTCATAACCTTAATTATCACTAAAAATAATCCAGGAAACGATATAACCTTATTGATTAAAGTCTTTAATCAAATGATAAAGAAAATGATACATTTAAAAAATGCCATTGTTTGCACTATGATTAAGAGGGAATCACTCTTTCAAATTTATTCCCACTAAGAACACAATAAATTCAACATTATCCTTTACATGAAATGATATTTTTTATAGTTCAAGCTCTTAATATGATCGATTACCCTAAACCATCAGATAGTTTTAATATTTTCATTAACTCTATCTTATGATCCTTGCTTTGATTATATTATACATAATTTTTATTTTAGTTTACAAATAATTTCGTCTACCCAAAATATTATCCATTTTATTATTTTGCACATGATATACTAAAATTTACAATTTCTATGGTTTTACTGATTTAATGCTCCGCAACAACTGACTGATTATTAGATCATAATTATATATCTTTTTCTTCATATAAATATATTTTCTTGTCCTTATAATTAATTGTTAAAGTTGTCTCCAATTTTATTTAAGCATAATTTATTCTATAATTTTTTTCATTTAATTAGTTTAATTTCCAATAATTCTTAATTATCCCTTGTTTTATTAAAAATTATATACTTCCTATATCAATTAATTTGTTGAAGTTTTCTACATTCGAATAGTCTATCCGCTTATTAATATATCATGTAAGGTTTTTGATATTTCAGTTTATCAATAAATCAGACTTTTTAATGTTAATTAACGAGACAAAAAAATTTTAGCATTATTATTAGCGTTACTCCATCTATGTATGGAATGCTTAAAACTAATCAACTTTAAATTAATTGTTTTTAATCCTTTAAAATTTATTTTAATTTACTTTTTATCTGAATCAAATATCGTAATATTATATTTTAAAATATTACTAATTTCAATTAGTTTCTTCAAAACAATTTATATATTGAAATTACTACATAATTTATAATTTTCTGATCTATGCTAGACTTTGATCACAATTTATTAATTTTAGCAATGTGGTGTTTGCTATTTAATTATTGTTTGAGATTATCTAGAAGTGATAAAAAACTCAGATTTATCTGCTAGAGAATTTTCTAAAGCAAAAATTAAAAATTGTTGCTTCTCTGTTCCTTATATTTGTAAAGATAAATTTTCTGGAGTTTAAAGAAATGAAACCGTTTGGCTAATATTAGCAAATTAAAATATTCAGAAATAACTCATTTTAGTTCTGCTTTTTGTTTCATTTTATTTTAATTGTTAAATATTATACTTTTTATATTGCATTTTAGTTATACTATTTATTTATTTTTAATCATCAATTTCTCTACTTTTTAGTTTATCTTAATAAAATTTATGTTTCGTTTCATTAAAGCAAATTGTTTAAACACTTGTCCTTTGCAAATTAACTTGACCTTCAACTGTTTTTTTGTATCAATATATGATTTGTTCAAGATGATACTAATTGGTTAAAAATGATCATCTGAAAAGCTATTTTTTAATTTTTACGAATATTTTTGGATAGTAATTATCATAATATGAAAATAAATATCATGCCATTAATCCCAAAATACCTAATGAAACTGCTGACAATATATAAGCACTGTCAGTAGTTACTCCATTATCTATTGTATTATTTGTATTATTTGAAATATTTGGATTGACAGATCCTGAAAGGCAACTTTCACATTTATTTGTAGCAGCATTCCAACTATAAGTGTAAGCTGATTCAGTATAGCAAATTTTGGAATCTGTCATTGTTCCTGAATCAGTCGCGCACATTTTCCACTTTAAAGAACACAAATTGTGGATGAAGTTCATCAAAGCTTGGAATTGGTTAACAATCAGTTACTGTGGCAAAGGTATCACATGAATGATTAACACAAGATGTTCCTCTTGAGTTTTCAGTCCATTCACATGATGAATTAGTTTTGCAAGCGAGTTTATCTTTGCTAGCATCAGTGCATGCTTAGAATGTCTTGCAAGTTCCATTAACTTAATCAGTTTCAGTAGGAGTGAAAGCGCAAACAATTGATTTATTATTTTCTAAGCCATCTCCATTACAAGCAGTAATAGTTTTATAAGTTGAACAGGTAGACTTGGAAATACAATTTATTCCATTTGATACACATGACTTTCCAGAGATAACTCCAGTACAGTTAGCATTTGAAGTTCCACTAGAAATATCTTCTTATTATTTTAATCTGTAGATTTTGTTTCCTGTAGTAGCTCCAATTGGTAATGCAAATGTACATTCTCCATCAGTCCCATTGAAACATCCAGCTTCAACATAATTAGAGCATGTTGATAGTGGTATGCATTTGGTTCCATCAGTTGTGCATGATCCTCCTGTTACATAAATAAACTTGCATTAATCATTATTACCCTTTTATTCATCACCACACTCCTTCAATATGCCAGTATTAATTTTAGCATTCCAAAAGCATATACTATCAGTTCCATTGTTATTATATGCTGTTTATGTGTTGTAGCTACCACAAGTTGACTTAGCTAAACATGCTTTTTCATCAGTGATACATATTGATCCATAAGAGAGATATTCATCATTAGTAGCAACCATAGCATCTGTACATAGTCCGAACTTCTAACATTTTCCAGTAGGTAACCATCCACAAGATCCATCAGTTCCCCACAACACAGGAAGCCTTTAATGATGTGTTGGCACAAGGATGTAATAGGAATACATGTGTCTCCATTTGTTGTACATGATGGAGAAAATGCTTAGCATTCAGAATGTAACTTTTTTAAAGCATCTTCACATCTTTCATAATCATAACATTATCCATTAACCCAAAGACATGGCCCTGAGTTGGATTTAATACAGAATTATTTATTGTTGAATTCAGTGCATGAGGCTCCAGTCACACAACCAGATCCATATGTTTTACATCCTGATAAGAAAATGTTACATTCTTCATCAATTATACCATTACTATCACTGTAAATTCTATTTCTACATTTATTTGTTGTGACGTCCCAACCCCATCTTCCAACTCCATCTTTAGTTGTTGAGGCAGCTATACAGATAGATTGGGTCTTGTATAATGTGCAGGTTGAAATAGTGATGCAACCAGCTCCAGTTGTTGTACAAGTATCAGCAAAGTTTTAACATTAAGTATGAAAAGTAACTGTTGCTGGTTGATCTTGACATACTTAAGCTCTACAAGTTGAATTAGTTTCTTACCATGCACAAAAACTTACCATTCACTTTAAAATTTATACATTATGAATAATTAGTGTTACTTTAAGTAGAACATGAAGCAATAGCATTTGTGCATTAATTAGCCCATGTGCATTACTCACATTCTTCATCTTTTGTTGCAGTTTTATTATCTGTACAAGCTCTAACTGTACATGTAGCTGATGTAGATGTTCTAAAACAATATTTAGAACTATTACTACCAACAATAGCAGATTCACAAAATGCTAAAACACCTGTATAACTTGCACAAGTTGTGTCATTAGCTTCTGGATCAACACATCCTCCATTTCTATTATAAACACATCCTTCTAAAAATGAACAACATGTACCATCATTTTAATTTTCTGCTAATTTACATGTTTTGATTTTACAATAATCATTTTCAGTGGCTATTGAAATGTTGTAACATTAATTTGTTGTAAAGTTATCAATAGATCCAGTCTTATAAGCAAATATCTTATCACATGTTTCTTAAGTTCCTTTCATTGATGTACATGGAGTAGTGTAATCAACACAACCTTTTCCATTACTAATACATCCAGGTAAGAATGAAGCACATGTAGCATTATCAGTTGCTTCTGTATTATCTGAACACTTTCGTTATATACAAGGAGTAGTATCAGTAGCTGTCGATGAATTAGTACAATAGCCTGGATAACTTAAACAAGTGGATTATGTTCCTGAAAGTTTACTACATTCATATTTAGTTATACAAGCATCAATTCTATTACTAATGCATGTTGATA